AATCTCCAAACAAGCAATCTCCAAACAAGCAATCTCCAAACAAAACTTGGCCAAGTGAAACCAGTAGCCATGGCAAACCCTGTCCCACAGCTGAAGAAGAGCCAAATGCCTCAACGCAAGGGAGTGAAGCATTGGAGGAAAGTAGTGGTGTCTTTACTTCTGGTAGAAAAAAATGCTTAAACAGAATTGCTTCAGATAGTGAGAGTGAAGAGCAGCCTGAACAAGTGCCCTCCTCTCCCTTGGACAGCCCTCGGCACCGACTGCCAGAAGGAATTAGTGCTTCCACCCCTAAATATAATGGAAGGAGCGCTAAAGTCATCTTTTCTCCCCAGCTAAATGAYAGTGGTAACAGATCTAACGCTTCCAGGCGCTCATTCATCAGCAGGTTGGTAGATGAGGTGGAAGATATTGGAGAAATCATGGGAACCACTGATGAAGAAGATGATGACAATGATGAGGTGCAAGACAAGCTTGTGGAAGAAGAAGCCGAGGAGTGCACTGGGGAATCTGCGGAGCCTGACGAAGAACCTGCTGGAGAAACACTTGATACAGGTGAAGAGTCCTCCTACACAGACAGTATGGAATCTGAGCAGTCTGAGGCACAGGAGACRGAGTCATCTCAGGAAGAATCCACGGGTGACACTGAGCTCCAGTCGGGCGAACAGGTCGACTGCTTCACCCAGGAAAGCAGCTCTGGAAAGGGCATTGGGCAGAGTTCCTCTCCTGCAGCAGGAGATTATGACACCTTGGTACACAATGGCAAGAAACTTCGGAATGACGGAAAACTCCAGGAGGCGTTGGACTGCTTCCTGCAAGCTCTTGACATAAAAAGTGGAGATCCTGAAGTTATGCTTCTGACTCTGAACTTGTACAGACAGCTGGCCCAGAAGTGACATGTGTGTGACTCTGTGAACGGAGTCTGGCTGTTCCTTGTTAACGTGTGTCTGCACCACTGCCCTGAGATCCCTAAGCCAGCTCCAGGTCAGTCCCTACCGTACACTCGTGTGACTGAGCAAATTCAGCACTTCCTTCTTGAGAAAACAGTCCAAATGTCCAGGTGTTGGTGACATGCTGGGGAGGGAACTTCACTGTGGAGTGAGCTCACCAAGGTGAAAATGGTTCATGTTCCTGTCTGGTTATTTAATAAAAAAAAAGGTGGTGTTGATGTCTAAACCGCTGTCCATGCTGGCAGCCCTGGCTCCACCTTACTATCTTCCAGGTTCTGTCACTCCTCTCCCCTGAGAAGATGGGGACAGTGCAGTTCCATGGCCACAGTAAAGCCCAGACTTGGGCTGCTGTGGTTCCTCCCTCCTTCTGGGCTTTAAGCCAGTTTGGGTGCCTGAAGGTCACCCACCATATGAGTGAGCTGAATGCTGGTGCAAAGGAGACAACAGCTCCCGCAACCTGGTTCTAAGGTGGTTTGAGGAGGGATTGGCTGTGGAGGAGCTACAATTTAGTTTGCTGCTCTAATTTCTCCAAGCAGTGGAGGAAGCAGAGCAATGGAGACCAGCACAGCATCCACCTGGCACCAGGTAGTGCAGAAGTCCTACTGAGCCCCTGCCAGGTGTGTGAGTGCATGGAGGGCTGGGGAGATGAAACACAATTAGACCTTGACCACAGCAAGGTGCTGAAAGCCTGAAACTCTGCAGTGCTGCTGGAGGAGCTAAGGACTTCAAAGGATGCTCTAGGTTTCCCTTCTTTGTTCCCCTCCCACTCCCCACTCCCCTTTCCCTCTCTCTGTATAGTGAAACCTGTTCTTGCCCAAGTTTGAGGACATGGGGGTATATACTGGGTATAATTTTTTTTGTTTTGTAAGGAAATCCTGTAAAGGATCCTCTCCCCACGCACAGCTGAACTGTATTACATTAATTTATCTCTCAGGTCCTGGARGCAGGATGGAGCTATGAAGAGGATTTGTAGTTCATAGAATMATGGAATGGTTTGGGTTGCGAGGGTACTTAAAGACCTTCCAGTTCCAACCCCTGCCATGGGCAGGGACACCTTCCACTAGACCAGATTGCTCCAAGCCTTGAACACTTCCAGGGTTGGGGCAGCCCCAGCTTCTCTGGGCAACCTGTGCCAGTGTTTTATCACCCTCATAGGGAAGAGTTTTCCCCAATGTCTCTTCTAACCGTATTCTCTGTCAGCCTGAACCCATTACTCCTTATTCTGTCACTCCAGCTCTGGATGAAGAGTCCCTCTCTGGCTTCCCTGTRGGCTCCTTCAGACACTGGAATGTGGTATCAGGTGTGCATGCAACCTTCCCCASGCTGAACAGCCTGAACAGCACCAATTCTCTCAGCCTTTTTTCACAGGAGAGGTGCTCCAGTSCCCTTATCAACTTCATGGCCTCCTCTGGACTTGCTCCAACAGTTCCATGTCCTTATGTTGGGGGTCCCAGAACTGTGTGCAGAACTCCAGGTGGAGTGGCAGGAGAACAGAGCAGAGGAAGAGAATCCCCTCCCTACTTGCTGTCCRTGTTTCTTTGGATGCAGCCCAGGACATGGGAAATTTCTGGGCTAGGAATGCTCACTGCTGGCTCGTGGTGAGTTTTTCATCAACCATCATCCCCAAGCCCTTCTCCCAGGGCTGCTCTCAGTCCCTCCTCTGCCCAACCTGCAGCTGTGCCTGGCATTGCCCTGACCCAGGTGTAAGACCTTGTACTTTGTTTTCTTGAACCTCCCAAGTTTCACATGGTCCCATCTCTCCAGCCTGTCCAGGTCCCTCTAGATCCATCCCTCCCCTCCGTATTTTACCACACCACACAGCTCAGTGTTATCAGCAAATTGGCTGAGGGTGCCTCGATCCCACAAACCAGCAGCTGAAAAGTTCCTGGTTCTGGCTTTGAGTGACTTTCTGTCCCCCTGCCCTGTCCCTCTGCCCTTCATGGACACAGCCTTGGTCTGGTGTGCTTGTCACTTGGACTGGCTCCTGCCAGTCTCACCTGCTGACAGCACAGCAGCACATTTGCATGTTCCTTGTGCCATGGCATGCTGCCTTCTGCAATACCACACCATAGCACAGGACACCACACCTGGCTGAGCTGTGCCGTTTGGGAGAGGAGCTCTGCGTATCAGGAGCCACAGCAAACTGAGAATTAATTCTGCTGGTGCAGGAGTTGTGCCAATGTGCTTTTGCCAACAGAGAGAACAAAGCTCTGGTAGCCTGGAAACAAGTAGTTTATTAATACAGCACCATTAAAYGGGGCAGTGTCTGTTCTGGGCAGCCTGTCTGTCCTCCAGAGCAAGCTCCAAATTCGCTGGCTTCTCTGAGCTGTCCATACTCAGCAAAACCAACACCCTGAAAAGTGGGGGAAGAGGACCTGCCCAGTTTCACCTCACCTCTTCCTCCTGTGGAATCTTGGTAAGGGCCTTTTGTTCTTTGATGTTTCCTCATCTCCAAGCTCTGTGCAAGATGCTTACCTGTAAAAAAAGCTGGTGCCTGTTGCTGGAGCTGTGGTTGTTTTGGGGGCTCTGTGGGCAGGAAGGGGGTCATGGCTCAGGGATGGATCCCTGAGATGGCAGGAACCTGCTGGGCTGCTTCACTTGCACACCCCACAGCACAGGGTTGCATAGGAAGCAGTACCAGGCATTTAGTGTCTTTTCTCTTATTCAAACCTGAGTTATCCACTTTCTTTCCCCAGCTTTTGAGTGGGCAAGGTGGAGCTTGAGAAACATGTGAGTCCATGCTCAGGAGAGCTCTTCATTCCCTCCTGCCCCCAGCCCCTTTCCATGCCTGGCCTGACCCAGCTCCAGTGTTACACACCCTCCACTGAAGTGACTGTCCTGCAGCCCTGGAGCATAAGCTGCACTACAGGAGCTGCCTGTACCCTCCTGGGGAGGATGGAGCTGGAGACCAAGCCCTGGGAACCCCTCTGTCCCTTTCTGCATCATTTCTGTTTGCAGATAAAAAAGCCTGGGYACCTCCTTCCACTGACAGATCATTATCTCCACAGCAGAAGTATKAGGCTAGCCTGCCAGGCAACAGAGACTTCAACAGCTGTTAAAGGCCCTTGTTTCACCCTTCCCAGGGACACTTTACCTCTCCAGGCAGAGCCCTGCTCTGCCAGCACAGGGGCAGGGATAGCCAGCTGCCTCCAGGCATGTTGCTGATTGTGCYGGAGTTGCTCCAAGGCCAAGCTGTCTGGGACTCAGGATTTAAGCAGTCAACAAGGTCATCATGGTCATTCACATTTTATTTTCTGCCTTCCACCATGATAATGTGGTATCCGAATTTGGTCTTGATGGGAGGGTCCGTGTACACGGGCTTGTCCATGCTGCTCACAGGGAGGGCAAATGCTGCCTCYTGGAATGGTCCCACCATGGAGCCTCTGGTCATCCAGCCCAGGTCTCCCTGTTAGGAAAGGACCGTTGGGGTTTAAGTTTTGAGACCGTCAGTGCAGGGAGGATGGCTGATGTGGCCGTGGGACAGGTCYGTGCCAACAGTGGCGATGAGCACGACCCAGGCTCCTGTAGCTGCTGCCCGGCCCCACTGTCCTGTCCCGGGAGCAGTACCCACCCCTTGCCTGGCCTTGTCCTCGCTGTACTGCGCTGCCACCTCGCTAAAGCGCTGCCCAGACTTCAGTTTCTCCATGGCYTCCATGGCTCGGCCGTGCTTCTCGCACAAGATGTGCCGAACCTGGCGGGGAAGGGAACGGGGCTGTGGCGAGTSCAGCCGGCGGGCGGGATGAGCCTCCAGGTTCTGGGGCGGAGTAGAGAACCGGCSCCCACCACCCCCCGCGCTCACCTTGACGGCGCTGCCGCCTCCCTTCGGGCCCTGCGCTTTGCCCTCGTTGCCGCCGCCGCTCTCGCCGCCTGTGGACGGAGCGTCCTGAGAYCGGCCTGGTCCCCACCGCCCCTGCAGGGCTCTGGGACCGACTCGGCCCCTCTGGCCCTGGCCCCCTCCCASCCGGCCCCGATGCCGGCCCCGGCCCCCCCACGGCCGATCCCGGTGCCGCCCCCGGGTGCCTGCCCGGGTCTCTGCCCGGACGGCTCCGATGCCACTCACCCTTGCCGGCTTTGCCGCCACCTTTCCCTTTAGGCGCCATCTTGCCGCCGYAAAGTCCCCGGGCTGCCCGCGCCGCGCCGGGACGGAGCCTCCCGAGGCCCCCGACTGCCCGCGGCGCGCCGGGMCGGAGCCGTTGCGCGGGCTGAGGGACACGGGGCAGCGCCCGCCCCGCGGGGCCTGGAGCCAGCCGGCACTGAGGGCTGCGCTCGGCATCCACGGCCATACCAGGCGCCCGCCCAGGGCTGTCCCTAACACTCTGGGCTGTCCCCTTCATTCACCCCACGTGCCCCAGGATGCCCAGGCCACTCCCAGGCAGCCCCACCCCACCTCCAGTCCTCCCCCGGCCTGTAGCTAGTGCCCAACTGACCCCAGTTCCCGCCCAGCACCAGGGCTGACCTCGTGCCCCGGGCTGTCCCTGTCCCTCTCATTCATCCCACCTGCCCCAGGTTGCCAAGCCCATCCCCACCCCCTCACATCATGCCCAGCCCCGCCGCCCCCGGCCTGTCCCCAGTGCCACGGCTGGGCTGTCCGTGACACCTCACAGTGTCCCCGTGCTCCCCAACCCCCTTGCCCACTGGGGACACGAGAGTGCGTGGCAGACGCTGGCCCCAGCTGATGGGGCTGGGGTCCCCTCGAGCCACCCGGGGGTGTCTGGTCTGCAACTGTGGTCTCCCCCAGCACCGGTTCCTCGGCAGCACAAAGAAGCACAGGCACAGGCGGGCAGTAGGGAGCACTTTACCAAGCTGGCAAGATAAAAAATACAACATTCCGTAGTTGGCACCTTGGCGGCCCCCACCCCTGGGCAGAGCTGTCCTGCTGGCTGGGCTCTTCCCGGGACCCCACTGCCTTCCCAGCGGAACAGCCGCAGCCAGAGGGAGCAAGGATCGAGCAGCCAGGGACGAGCATTCAGCCAGGAAGAGCACCAGGAAGAGCCTCAGGAAGAGCCTGTTCCTCCAGTCAGGGAAATAAGGATCTCCATTCCATGGCCAGTCTCTGTCCGACAGCTGACCTCTGGCGCACTTGGACATTTCCCCCTGGCAGCATTGGCTGCTCCAGCTGCCAGTGGTGTTGGGGGTGTTGCAGGGGGGTCCCTGCCCCATGTTTGCCCCCAGCTCCCTTTGCTGGCTCCATCCCCCATTTCCTGAGCAGTCATGTGCAAAATATATCCTTCCCCAGAGCTTCCCAAGCTGTGCCCGGGCCCATCCCGCACCAGCATYCTGCCACCAGCTGGGGCCACGGGATGGGGATGAAATGTGGACATTCATTAGAGCTTTTTTGTGTGTGTGTGTGTGGTTTTGGTTTTTTTTCCTGAGTTTCTCAGCCTGGCTCTTAATTACAGGCTTAAATCTGCAGCCCTGGGAAAAGAAATGAGCGATGGACGAGTACCCAGAGGGAGGAGAGGGGAACCAACTGGAGTCTCAGTGGGGTCAGATCCAGTGTGGTGACAAGCATGGGGATGTATTTGCCCAGGCTATGCTTTGTGGGGGTGCAGAGCTCCCGGTGGGACAGAGACCCCCCCAGAGCAGCTCAGGCCCCTTGGAGGGGTAGCTTAAGCTGCCTGGGTGCCCTGCTGCTGCCTGGACCCACTGCACCACTCCCCTCTTCAGTGCAGGAAGGCTGGAATATGTGGAAATAATTCATGAAATAAAGCGGAAATTTCCCTAAACATCCTGTTTCCAGCCTAGCCCTTCCTGTTTCTCTGGGCAAGTGGCTGTGCTCATGCTCAGAGCTTGTGTTTCCTCCCCGCCCTGTGCCAGAGCCCTGTACCATGGCCTCTGTTACCGGCAGCTGGGGCTCCCATGCTGGATCCAGGCCAGGAAGAAGCAGCAAAGGAGGACAAATGCCACCCAGGGATGTGCAAACTTTCCTCCATGACCCTGTTTACCTGCCCTGATGGCATGTGTCCCACTCGGCCTTGCTCAGCTCCCTGGTGGTCAGTGGGCAAGGGTGAGCAGTGGGCAACCCTGGTGACACCCCAGGAGTCACTGAGGAGGTGGCTCAGGTGATACCCATCTTGATTCCAGCCACCATCTCAGTGGCATCCCAGGACACCCAGTGGTCAGGGCAGCAGGAGAAGCTGTTGCAGGGTCCATTGGGGAGATGCAGGAGGTAGAGCTGGGGACGAGCTTCCCTCCYGCTTCCTTCCCATGGCGCAGCACCTCCATCCCCTCAGTTGGCAGCTGGTGCAGGATCCTGGCACGGGGATTGGCAGAGTGTGGTGGCTGCCAGASCCTCTGTGCAGTGAGACCAGTGGGGCTAGTGGTGGAGGAGACCCCGGGGTTTGTTTTTGGACTGAGAGCTGAGGAGCTCCAAAATGCAGCATTTTGGGGGCTTTCAAGGGGTGGGGGTTTGGCTTGAGGTGGTGGCGCTGGCTGTGGATTCCAGGTGCCACTTCCCCGTGTGGCAGTGAGGATGCTCAGGGCAATGACAGGGAACCTCCTGTGACTCTTCAAAAGCAGCCGCAGATCTAGCCGAACCCCTGGCGTCTTCCCAGAGTACATCTATGTGTCCAGCTGAATTCAACCAGGGGATCTCTGCATGGGAAACTCAAGGTACAATGTCAAAGGSAAGAGAATCAAACATCACCACCACTATGCATTAGAAAAGCTATTTAAAGTACCACATGCCGAAGGGACCAAAGAGTCTCAAGCTGCTTCGCTGTGAGCATGGGACGATGCTGGGGGCTGTGATCCTGTTCTGCTTCCTGGGCAGGCACCTTCAATCCCAGGAGCTGGCTCAGCCAGGGCCAGTCCCGGCTGCTTCCCTCCTGGGAAGGACCCAGGGTCATGAGGGCTCAGGCTCTGGCCACTGCCTCTCTGCCAGGAGCTCTCCAAGTAAGGAATAAAAGCAGAAGAACCACCAGCAGGATAGAGGGACACCCCAGCAGCCCTTTGCAGCAGTGCTCCCTCTGCAGCCATTGCCACCCCCCCAGATGGAGGGGCTCCTGCATGGTCAGGGCTGGCTTTTGGGGCTGTTTGCACTGTCCAGCTCAGGGGCAAACTCTGTGATGACCCTCCGGGCCAGTGGGTTCGTGGTCTTGAGCAGTTCGGCAGCAGATGGCCGAGTACCCAGGCTGGTTTTGCTGCTCTTCTTCTGGAGCAGGGCTTTGAAATCCTCATTCCTGCTGGAAGACTTCCCACTGCTGCCTGCTGCTGCTGGGGACTCACCAGTTGGGGAGCCTGAAGTCTTTACAGGTGAGTGGGAGGTGGGTCGGCTGCTGAAGGTGTCACCAGGCTCTTTCCGCCCCAAGACCTTCCTCTTCGACCTAGACACCAAAGGGACATGGGTGGCAGCAGCCTGAAGGTGGGTGAAGTCCCAGAGTGAGAGGCATGGTAGTGCCCAGCACCGGTTGTGCTTGCTCTGCTGGGGCAAGGTGACAACACAAGCACGGCAGGCAGTGCTCCTGGCAGGTAGGACCAATCTGGAGCCTCCCTGCAARCTGGTGGCCTAGTCTGGTTGCACTCCGCTCAAGGCAGCAGCAACYGGGCTGTCCCCAAGGATGACCATTGGCCCAGCATGGAAAATGGAGGTGTTATGGTTGGAGGGACACTGCGCCTGGTGCTATGACTGTGGTGGGAAGCAGTGGGTGCAGGGGCTGTGCCCTCCAGTGCGTGCACCAGCCTTACCTGTGGATCACTGTGAAGAGATCCTCTGTGGTGCGGGACGTTGTGAACACCTCATCATCCTCCTCCACGATGGACTCGGCTGTCTTGTCGCTGGCAAAGCTCTTCTCCTCCGTGCTGGCCTCGGCTGAGCTGCCTGCGTGCAGGGAGGCAAACAGAGCAGTGAATCTCCTGTGCAGCATGGGGAACCCCTCTCCCCAGGGTGATCCCACCACAGGGGTGGGGAGACCCTCACCTTGCTCTGAGGCGGGCTTGCTGGGGGGCGTGGTGCCCACAGACTTGGGGGATGGTGGATCCTCAGTGTCAGGGTCACAACAGGTGGGGTCAGTGTCCAGCGTGATGATGGGGCTGGGGGTGGGTGGCATGTCCCCCACACCAGCTCCCAGCTGTGCCGGGGCCGGGATGAGTGGCAGGTACAGCACGCTGGGCTTTTTGGGTACTGGCGGCGGCACCTTGGACTTCCTGCGCTCCCCCTCGGCACCGCTCCGCTCTGGCCGCAGCTCCTCCAGGCTGCCCTTCGAGAGCTGCCTGGGTCCCGCTGGGGTCAGGGACAAGTGGGGCTCCCCCAGACCCCTCCTCAGCTCCCCTCTCCGCAGCACCACAAAGCCATCCTGTGGCAGCCCCTTCTCCTTGGCGGCAGTGCCTGGCGGAGATTTGGGGGACAGGGGATCCTCCTCCCGCAGAACTGGGGGCTTGTGTAGGATGCATGGGGGACGCCTGGCCAGCGGTGGCTTCTCTGCCACGGGTGGCTTCACTTTCCTCTCCGGCCCCGGGCAGGGGACACGTGCTGGCTCCTCCGTGTGCTCTGGGCCATCRGCATTGTCCTCTGGCTCCGAGCGGCTGATAGAGCGGAGGCGGACAGAGCGCAGGTCTGACTGTGTCACCACTGGCATGATGGGTGTGATGGGACTGGTCTTCTGGGACAGCTTGGTGCCAAAGGTTGAGTCAGAGTGGTGCCGGCTGACCTTCGTCTTCCCCTTCAGGGAGATCTTCAGCCCTGAGAGGTCGAGATGGGCAGGTGGAGTCAGTGGGAGGTCGAAGGAGAGCCTGGCCTTGGGGCTCCTCTCCATGGGGGATGTGGGGGGCAGAGAGGATTTCCTCTCGGGGACCAGTGGCCTCACACGCACCTGGTGCGGGGAGTGCCCGAGGATGGCGGAGGTGGGTACGGTAGGGGTTGGGGTCTCCGACTGACTGGAGTATCCGCTGGATGGGGACATCAGCCCTGTGGGCCTGCCTGGAGAGGAGGTCTTGAGGTCTGCCTCGGCGGAGAGCTGGGAGGGCGTTGTGGCCCTGGAGACTGAAGGGGACATGAGGGACTCGGAGCTTCCGCGCGTCTTGGCACATTCGATGGCTGTGGTCCCTGTGGTTGTGCTTGAGCCAGAGAGGGACCAGTAGGGATCGCTGCCAGCCTTCCAGTCTGTGTGATGCCACTGGTGGGGGGCAGCTGTGCTGTCAGGCTCCCTCCCTGCACTCCCCTGRGGCTCAGCGTGCACCAGCCGGTGGCCCTGGAGCTCTGGTGGGATGCATAGGCTCTTGGGCCGCTGGTCCTTAGGCAGTGCCGCACTGAGCCCCACGTCTCCATCCTGCCCCTCTTTGATCAGCGAGACACTGCGCGTGGGTGGCGAAGGCTTCTTCTTGGCCTTCTTCAGGGAGATGCTCTTGGAGCGCCGCCGCCGCTGCCCCTCAGGCTCCAGCCCCAGGGAGATGTTGTCGGTGCTGGTGCTGCCCTCAGAGCTGGCACTGGGGTAGCCCAGGGCATAATTGGCGCTGCCCCGCCGGGTCTCGGCATATGCGATATCCACAGAGCAGAGGGACCCCGAGTCAGTGGGCACTGACAGTGACCGCTCGCGGAACCGGCACCCTGGCCGCTCTACCTCCAGCTGCGCTGGCCCTGCTGCTGGCCCCAGCTCCTCTCGGCCTCCCGGCAAGAAACTCCCCTTGGCTTCCTGGATGCACCCGGAGCTGGGGGCAGGCACTGGGCCGGAAAAGAAACTAGGCCCATTGCTGCCCACGCGCTCTTCTGTGGCGATGAAGAAGGAGGTGGAGGTGGTGGGTGAACCTGGGCTGGGCGATGGGATGGAGCTCTCTGGCGAGGTGCAGCTGGGCCCCTTGCCTGGGCCAGTGGTGAGGTTGGGGGGGCTCCCATAACCCAGGGCACTCCAGGGCAGGGATAAAGGTGTGCCCTGTGTCCCGTTGCAGGCACTGGCACAGGGGTTGGCCGCCCCATCCATGGCAGCAGGTGGGTGGCAGCAGCGGGTCCCAAGGTCACTGAAAGTCTTCCTCAGCGGGGCTGAGAGGGGCTGGCGAGGGCTGATCTCCTGGGGCGTTGTCCCCTCACTCGTGGTCTCAGGCATGAAGCTGCAGGACAGGGACTCAGCGATGGGCTTGTGTGTGCTAGATGTGGGGCCGTTGGCGCTGCCTGCGGGGTGAGACACAGCCCAGTGAGCACCATCCTGCCTCACAGGAGCATGGCCCTGCCCCTACGCCATCCCAGCCTTTAGCCAGTCTTGAGGTTGCACCTCTGTACAGGCATAAAATGTGGATGTGTTGGTTGGAATGTGCCATGGACAAATCAGCAGCCATGGCAGGAGGCTCTATTTATAGGGACCTCAGTCCCATGGCAACCGAAGTGTTGCCCTGGTGCTGCTCCATGGTGGGGACTGGATGGGGATCAGGGGCCACCAGGTCATGCATTGCTGGGACAGGGAGGGATGTGCTGGCTCACAGTGCCACCCCATCACAGCACCTCTGGGATGGGGAAGGAGCCTGGAGCTCTGTGGTGGCTCTCAGTGCCACCTCATCTCAGCACAGCYGGGGTGGGGAATCAGCCAGGAGTCCTGCTTTAACGACCCCCAGCAGACAGGGATGCTCAAGGCTGTGGTGGGCTGAGGCCTGACCAACTCCAAGGGAGGAGCCATCACAATCAGTTGATGGTCTGACCACTGCCATGGTGACCACTTCCTCCTACCCTATCACAACTGCCTTGAAACAGCTGGTGCCATGGTTTCTCCCCCTGCCCCCACCTGCCTCCCCAGAGAGGCTGGCTGTGATTTCTTCACACCTTCCATAGGGAACAGCAGGACAGAACCCCTGAGCCACAGTGGCTCTTGTTCGCAAGGATCCAGTGCCAGCCTGGAAGCACTCCAGGCACTCTCATATGCATATCCTTGGCACTGGCATGGCCAGCTCACCAGCCCCAGCAAAGACCCGGTCAGGTGTGTGCCCTACAGCCAGGGCACCCTGCCACAGGGTCTGCCCACAAAGAAGGTGGGCACAGGGAGCTGTTGGAGCTGAGGCTGGGTGACTCCTGTCTCAGGACCCTGACTCATGGTGAAGGGGCTGTCCCCGATGCCATGATAGCCCCAGGCCAGCCTGGTGTCACCAGTGTGCCCAGCACCACTGTCACCACTGGTGCCTCAGGAGGGCACAGACTCAATGTGGTGCCTGCACATTCCCCGTGGTCGAGGCGTCCTCGGGAGCCCGTCCATGCCTGTGCTGGCTAACAGCCCCGGGACGGCCATGCCGCCCATCAGGGCAGCTCTGCGGGCTGCCAGCCCTGCCTGGGTGATGCCTGCGCGGTTCTTGCTGTCACCTTGGTCTCGCAGGGACAGGTTAGGGAATCCAATAATGGTCCGTCTACGCCGCAGGGTGGACTTTGGGTTCATCGCGGTCTCTGTGTTAAACAGGGAGTGATGAGCACTCGTGTGTCTAGCAAAGTGCTGCCCTGTAGCCAAAACAAACAGCGGTACGCCGCGGTGCCAGGAGCCGCTGCCAGAGTGGGAGCTCGGTCCCCTCTGTCACCCATGTCCTCTGCATGTCCTCAGCCTGGGATGGTGACACAAGTGGGAGAGTGGGATGGCAGGAAGATTCTGTGAGCTACAGTGGGGTGAGCACGGAGGAGATGGAGGCACGGTGGGAAATGCTGCAGATGGAGGTGAGGTGGATGGAAAGCTGCAGACACCGGCCCTGTGCTGCTGACAGGCACTGCTCCGTGCTGGTGAGACTGGACCCCACACCTCTACTAAGCCAGACTGTGGATGTGTGTGTGAGGCATGSACAGGGACCATGCGTGGCCCTGGCACAGCTTGCCATGGCAGAGAGAAAGGGCGGACAGACACCTCTGCCCTTCAATGAGGGGCCTTGCCCTCCAGAAGGGGCACCTTGCCCAGCCATCAGCCCCAGACTCTGACCTGGGGCACAGCRTGGCACCTGTGTCTGCAAGGATTGGGCAGGACTGTGCTGCTGGGAGATGTGGCCCTGAGAGGATGAACCGACAGACAGGGGAGGAAGGTGAGACAGGCCAGGTRCACAGCGTGTAGTGAGAGCCCAGGTGACAACAGACCTGGCTGGCTGGGCATTACATCAGGGATGTGAGACCTGCCAGCAGCACGGCCAGCAGATCAGATGCACAAAGCTGCAGATGGCATGAGAGATGGCTGGGAATGATGGATGCCAGCATGGCCTTGCTGTCCCCTCTCTGCCTCAGTGCCCACCTAACCCATGGGGACACAGCTTGCAGCCCAAGTCCCCTCCCACCAACCMCCCCCTGCCCCAGATGGCTTCTGGGGTGCATCTATGCCTGAACCCTGTGTCCTCCTGCCGTGCCATAGGGTGCTGGTCCTACCTGAGACATTGATGGTGACAATGTTGGTCTGGTTGGAGCCAGGCTGGCGCCACTGCTTCTCTTCCACAGGGGGCAGGGGGCAGGGCCAGGGAAGTTGCTTGTCTGGGCTGGTGGGGAGGCTCAGGGAGGTGTCAGGGGGTCGAGAACCAAGCACAGTACTGCTGGTGCTCTCCTCTTCAGCCATTCGCTGACTYGGGGGCTACGGGGAGAAAGCCACATCAGCCACCAAAGGGACAAGGGTGGAACACAARCAGACACTTGCTGCCCACCCTGCCACCCCAGAACTCACCATAAGCACGAACTCGAGGCGCTTGGCAGGAGGGGGTCGAGGTGATGGTTCAGGAGAGGTGGGGGGGGGCAGGTGACCAGCAGCACGGAAGGTCTGCCCAGTGACCCTGCTCTCGGCATACTGCTCCTCATACTCCTCTGCAAGAAAAATGGCACATGGGACCCTGCTCCTGCTGCTGGATCCCGGAGCAGGGGGCAGGTGAAGGAGGGTGACTGTCCCCCCAGGCTGTCCCCAGCCAGAGCTCACCATCCCTGCTCAGGACAGACAGCTCAGAAGGTGAGGGAGACCCCAAGRAGGGTCTGGGGGAGGTAAAGCAGTGCATAGATCCCAGCAGCTGGCCCCACTCCTCCGGAGGGCTGTCAGGGGATGTGGTGGGTCTTGCTGGGAAACAGCCCCACTAGGGACAGCCAGGAACTCAGTGTGTCCCCATCCTGTAATTGTTGAGCTAATTAATACTGGTGGCTGTGGACTGGCGGAAAGCAAGGCTGCTCAGGCTGACTTAATGAGATTACAAGCTGGGGGATGGCCGGGCTGCTGATCTCATCTGATGCCTGAGGAGCATCTGAGCCAGGGCCGCGTGACAGCCTGGGCCAGAGATTGGAAGGAAACAAAACCACTGGCCATGTTGATCCAGTTAGGCAGATCAGTGGCAGGTCCCTGAGGCCCTCGTGAGCAGAACTGTGCTATGGTGGGATTCATGAGTGCCCTGGTGGCCCCAGTGGCCTCAGTGGCCCCAGCAGGCAATCCTGGTCCCAGTTGCTTTGACACCAGCAGCAGTGACTTGGRAGCAGAGATTGCCGAGGGTCTACTGGAGACTGGGATCCCCCAGAACCCAACTCCTGCAGCGCGTGAGGTCCGAGGAGTAGCTCAGACACGCGTGAGATGAGCTCACAGTCTCATGATGGTCATGCACCCAGGGCAGCGCCCGCCCATCAGCCTCACCCAGCCCACCCCAGCCCCTCTCCCTACTACCTTGCAGCAAGCTCTGGAGGTTGAGCTGGGCCTCCTGGTGCAGCTGCTCCATGCCCGGGGGGCGCCCAGCAGCCAGGAAGACATTCACGGGCTGCTGCCATGGCAGCTTGGCGGGGGCGGCTTTCTTGCTCTCAAGGTCCAGGTTAGAGGTGGCTGCAGGTGGGAGAGAGTGGGGTCAGAGGCAGGTGGCAGGCAGCTTCCCTGCGTCTKCTGCTGTGGGATAACAGCGTGCCAGCATAGCACTTATCCCACCASCTCTCCAGAAATGCTGGGCTGTGGTTGTGTCCCACCCTGGTACCCCAGCTGCCTGCTGGGACCAGCCCTCATCACCGCTACCACTTTGGGGGCTGGACCCTGAGGGCTGCCAAGAAGGGAGCCGGGAGAAATTGGGGAAGGAAGCCAGCCCTGCCACCCATACCTAACCACACCCGGACGCAGGAAACGCTGCATGGTCTGGTGGAGCAACATCCTGGCTGCAGAGGGAGTACAAGTTGCAACTGAAAGGCAGGAGCAAGGGACCCATTGCTTCCATTGCTCTGCAGCTCGGGGCTCACATGCCCTGCCCTGGTGTGGACACCCCTGAAGCTTTCCAGGGAAGGAAACCTCTGTGAGGACTGCTCAGATCCTCTGAAACACCTCTGTGGGTGGATAAGACCCTGGGAGCAGGATCTGGGCTCAGCAGTGAACTGGCTCTGTGGGGAGCTGAGTGCTGCTCCCACAAACAGGCTTTGCCATGGGAACACTGCAGCCCCGGCACTGCTGCTCTGAGACCACATGGATTTGTACTCAGCACAGAGACAAGAGAGTGCCACACTGCCACCGAGGGCATCCGCGCCCCAGCAGGCACACAGCACACCTCTGTGGGCTTTACACAGGGATWTGGAGGACCAGGGTCTCATCCCTGGGGATTTAAGGCTCATCCTGCACTGCATGGTCCTTGTCCCCATTTCCATCAGTTGAGATGCTCCCATTACCAGCGTGTGACAAACACTTGCCCTCTGCCACCTGCAGTACAGTGTCTGTCCCCAGGAACATGCCACTGCCCTGCTGCCAAAGCCTGCTCCATGCTGGGCCCCAGCTGAGGCAGCAGCAGCAATCCCACTCACMTGGGAAGGGGACTGGCCCGAAAACAGGTGTGGCAGCCCCAGCACAAGCCACATTCCCTCTGCCCCCAGTGGTCAGGCAGCTGTGGCCCAGCTCATCTGCACTGCATCATGAGCATCCCCACTGCTGCTCACGGTGCCACCCTGCCCCCAGGTGCCTTCCTGGCCTCAGATGCCCTCCTGCCTACAATACTCTGGTGCCCTTGGTGCCCTCATGCCCATGCTTCCCCCAGCTGATGGGGCCTGCACAACGCCTAGCACCCCAAAGCAAGGTGCCATGTTCCCAGCCTAGTTACTTTTATAATTTGTGTTTCCATAACGATGGGTGTTAACACTAGGTTTTTTCCTTTTTTTTTTCTTCTTTCTCCTCTAAATAATTTGACTCGTTTCCATATCAACCAAGAGGTGCTGGGGTGCATGTGTGCCTGTGTGTGCCATGCACAAAGCAAGGTCAGGCATTCCCCAAAAACCTGACCCACAGTGCCAGAGGCAGAGACCACACCTTCACCTCTGCAGACCCCAGACCCCAACCTGCTGTTTTTGGCAAGATGGGGGATCCACTGCTGCCTCACCATTTCTGAGAACACCCCAAGGGTGCACCACAAATCCTGGCTTGCTGCACCCCCTGCCTGGCTCACACAGCCTCAGCACAGCTGATGCTCCTCTCCTTCTGCCCATATATCCCCCTGCAGCCACCACCCACCAAGGACTCAGGGACATCCTGAGCAGCCCCCTGCTGCCCCTGCACCTCTCCAAGCCCCTGCCRCCCTTCCCAGAATATGGGAGCTCACCTCTGCACCTCAGCCCCGCTGCTGGGTCACCCCGGCACCCACCCCTGGGCGCYGATCACGTGGACAAACCGCAGCACCAAACGCGGGGGCCACCCTGGGTGCGGCGGAAACGTGGCAGCACCCACACCCAGCACCCTACCCTGCAGTGAGGGCAGCTTCAGCCAGAAGGGGAACAGGCAGTGCTGGGGGTCCTGCCCCATGCAGCTTCCCCCTCTTTGCTAACGTTTGCTCATTAGGACTGTGAGACACAGCGCAGTCCCAGGCCGGTGTGGGCAGTGGTGCCGGCACTGCCAAGGTGCTGGCATTGCCAAAGGTGCTGGCATCACCGAGGCACGCGCATCGTGGGATCCATCTCCCCAGATGGGGAGAAGGGGTGGGGACAGGAACGGATGAGCCGGGCACTCTCCCGGCACCCAGATGCCCCAAACTTGCACCGCAAGAACAGCACTGTGCCGGAGTGAGCAGCACCCTGACGCTKTGGCTTTGGCTCCCCAGGAGCAGCCACTCCAAGGGAGTTTTGGGAGCAGTGGCTCTGAGGGTGTTTTTGGAGTAGCACGCACAGCCCAGCCCCACATGGCAGCTCAATGATGTGGTGTAAGGAGCCGGCAGTGCTGGTTCAGTGCCACTGCCACAGTGCTCCCAAGGGATGGGCAGTACTTGCAAGCAGCCTGATGCAGGCTCAGTACAAGGGCAGGATGAAGTGCCTGCCATCTCCACCTGTGGCACGGGATGCCCCGRCGGAGCAGGAGTGTCCGGTGGCAGGATCCAGCAGCTGGTGAGGATAGTGCAGCTGAGGGGAGTCAATGCCTGCTACCATGCTTATCAGGGACAGGCTCAGAGCATAAAATAYCTCTGAGGGGCACCCACCCTGTGACGAATGCCTATGGGAGATGAAGGGCGTCCTGGGACAGCAGAGCCTGAGAAACAGCTCCATCTGACCAACCCCAGAGGTCTGGAACTGAGCCTGGCCAGACTTGCTGCCAAGGGAAACTGAGGCATGGGGTTCACCATGCTTCCTGCTGGCACCAGGCCCCCTCCTGGCCCCAGAGCATGCAGAGAGRAGCAGACGGTATCCCCTACACTGCCTTCTGATGGACGTCTGCCTGGGGTGTTCCCGGAGTCAGCACCATCAGCCAAAGTGCATGCTACAGGCCTCAGAGTCCTGCTGAGCATAAGCCTGTGACCACRCTCGGGGTGTTGTGGCCATGGTGCATACACAAGGACCAAGGCTGAATTCCAGGGAAGTTCRCTTGAAGGGGCACTGAGCTCCACTCTCTCCTGTGGAAAGAGCATCCCTGCAGGATCCCCAACCCCTCAGTATCTCCAGAGTCACCCTTGCTCCATGCCAGCATCGCTACTCACCCACAGCCCAGGCATCCCGAATCCACAGGGAGATATTTGACAGAGCCATCAGAGCTGTTTTAAGCAAAGCTGAAGCTCCTGTGAGATGATGACTCTTGCTTGAATTCACTGCCAAACTTTTCCCTCTCAGGCTCGCTCCCCACGCGCAGGAGATGCCGGGGACACGTCTGGAGCCGCTCGGACCCTCTCTGCCAGCAYGGAGCTGTGGCAGGAATGATGTAACGGCAGCAGCAGGCGATCCACCATCAGCAGAGCAGCCATGGCAACGGGTACAGGCACGGCGGCAACTGCCGCTSCCGGTCCGGAGTGTCGAGCACACGGGAGGGCGAGGGCAGTGAACCTGGGGACTGACACCGACCCCGACAGCACCCTGAGCCCACCAGCAGMGCCGTGTGCCGCAGTGCCGCTACCGTATGCCACCGGCTTCAAGCAAGCGCTGTGGCCTGACGCGGGTACTGACTGCTGACTGCCAGCGCGTGTGGCTTGGTGACATTGCCGTGGTGTGGAGCCAGGCGCATGCTGATCCACGGCGAGCAGAGAGGAAGGAAATAGAGCAAACAGAGGGACCTGGCAGAGGCCACAGAAACACCTCCTGTCCCAGGCTCACCTCCTGCTGAACCAGAGCTGCCAGGCCAGCTCCCTGTGGGATGTAGAGCGGCATCCCTGTGCATGGCAGCTCCAGGGCCAGATRCCCACCCAGGTCTGAATGAAATCCCCAAGTGACACCCTGCTGACACCCTCAGTCCCAGTGCCACAAGGCAGCGGTGCTGTGTGCCGCTTTCACATGCTGTGCCTAGGATGATCTCTCATTGGGAAAGACAAGAGACTGTGCCCTGTCCAAATCTGACCCTCTCCAGGACACCTCCCTCTGTCATATGTCTGGTGGCACAGCTCCAACCCCCTGGGGAGGCAGGGCCACCTGCACAGGTCTGACGTGCTGGCGATTGAGGCCAGASGGGTTGGAAGCCTTTCAGGGATGCCATGCCCTGACCCCAGTGTGGCTATGCCAGGACCCTGGTACAACACATCCCCGTGCTCCCACACGGGCACCCAGCAGGACCACAGGCWCTGAGAAATGATACTTGATACACCGGATCTGCAAGAGGCTTTCAGCTCTTCCAAGCTCCCTGTTTAACAAGGAATCAGCCGATTTTTGTACTGATGGGAGATAAGAGCACTGCAGAAGTTGCTGGTTGTGGGCGGGTTTGGCAGTTGTGGGGGTCCCTCAGCTCATGGGGAGWAGGCTGAGTTATGTGAGAGGTTTCTATGAAAACCACTACCAGCAAACCAGTCAATAATATCCCTGCCCATCAGCAGGACTCAGAGTTGCAGTGTGCAAGGACATTTGGTCCCGGCAGCACGATGGGCCCCCGTCAGGAAGTTTTGGCAGAGGGGAGGTGGGTATGCTGCAAGATTTGGCCAGCAAGGCTGGCCCAGGAGGAGCCCAGTGTGCCATTTGCCTGTGCTGTGGGGATAGGAACTGCCTGCGGCCAAGCAGGGCTTGGCCTGGGACTGTGCCAGCCAGGGTGGACTCAGGCTGCTCCCCGACAAGGGGGTGAGATCCACTGCTCCTGGAGATGGAGCAGCAGCACTGGGGTGAGCACTGGAGCCCTGGAACCTGGCTGGACCCAGATTCCTGCACTAAGCCCTCCACCATGGGCAGTGGGACCAGTGCCCAGACCCTCTCCCAGCCCTGCCATGGCTCTCTGGCAACCTTCTCATACTGCGACCCTCACTCTCCTGTGCTTCCCAGCAAAGATCTCTTTCCTGAGAGCCTCAGGAAGCCTGGCATGGCAACCTGTCAGCTCCAGCCAGTCCTGGCAACCTGGCATCGCCACGTCATGGCCAAGGGTACCTACTGAGCCCAGSGTGGCCACAGCTGACTGCCCACCAGCCT